TTGCTCACAGCGGTGCTGAGGTGGGGAAGCAGCTACGAGCCCTGTGGCAACCCTGCAGCTGCCTCCAGAAACCCTCACGAATGGGATCCCTCGGCGTGACTCGGAGGGAAAACAAAGACAGCGCGCTTTCCCAAGCAGTCTTCCGGAAAAGCTTCTGTAGTGATTGCATTTCTGACCCTTGAGATGAACAAAATTGAAAGAATCAGCCAGTTAACAGGTGTCCAACTGCTGGCAAGCTAGTCTGTGGGCAAAAGGATTTCTGCGCGTCGTGTTTCCTTGTCTGACTGCTGTTTTAATGCCAGGGAGACTTGTGTCATCGGCAGGCAAAACCACTCCGTGAATTCCCTGGAGTTCTTGCCTTCTGGTGTGTGCAGGAAGGTGTGCTGGGTTTACTCAGGAAAGATATATCTTTCTTTACAGTGGCTGGTATGAAGGTGGGTTCTTGGATTTACCCTGAGAAAAGGGGTTAAACCATGACAGAAGGGTAGAAAATAGTGGTAAAATACTGTGTGTACAAAGATGTGACAAATGCAATTGCTTCCTTGCTGTGTGTTTTGAAAGGAGGGGAAAAAAACCCACCACAACCAAAAAAACTCCCACAAACAAACAAACAAAAAAAACCCAACCCAAGACATATAATTCCCTGATCTTCCATATGTAAGGGATGTTTGAGGCTCATGGAAATAAAAATGATTGTCAGTCCACTAAGTTTAAATTTACAATTTTGCATTAGTTGCTCTTTGCATTCTGTATTTTCCATCAATCATTTCTCTAGTTAGTGCTGTCAGATTTCATTCGCTTCAACATGTTGGAATACCCCAGATAATGGATGAACTTGGAAACTGCAGATATTTTGTTTCTGAGATCTGAACTGGTTCTTATAGATTGGTTCCATGTCTAAATCGTGAAGACCTGCAATACTTCAGCCACTTATGTGTGACATCAGCTCAGCTGTCTTCACACACAAGTGTGAAAATATAGCTTAGTTTGACTGGAAGAGTGTACCAAGAGCATGCAGCTTTGAAAGATGATAACTTAGGAGAGAACGAAAAACGCGGAAGGTTCTCAGTAGAAAAGAAGCCCAAGGAATGGAAAAACTTGTATCACTAATGACACAATGTTAGTACGGGTGGCACTGCAGAAAACTGAAGAGGAGTCCTTTTATCACTGCTTTTTGTTGTGGTGTTTTCTCACAAAGGATAGAAGGGCAGACTTGAAGAATGAGGTGACTTGGAAAACAGGAGTAGCAATCTTGATACTGGAATTTTTGACTGAGTCTGGGAAAACTTGGTTGAATTTCGGAGACTGTAAAAACATCTGGTGTTGCAACATCATGCAATAACCAGATACCTGCAGCAGATTATTTTGCAGATAAACTGCTTGCTGATTTTTGGATTCATCAGTGATAGCTCTTATGTACATGGTATTTAAACCCACCAAATGGGTCTCTGTGCCCAAACTGATGTCATTTTGAAGCAGAGGACAGAGAATCTGTAGCAGTTTGCTCAGAGATTGGCTGTGTGACAAAATCAAGTGGTTTAGCTATTCTTAAACACTTGCTCAGAGTAACTCTGGGGCTGGGATGCAGTAAAGCACTGATTCTGGTCTGTTTAGGATGACTAAATTGAATCAGATGAAAGATGGTGCAAAAGCAGGTGTGCAAGAAGGCATTTGCTTGGATGTACAAAAGCAATTTTCCATGGCTGGAGAATCTTCAAGGGAAGTTCCGTTCCTACAGGCTGAATACACAGCTCTGCTCAGTCTTAGCCATGGCATATGCTCCTGTGTGTGCTCCTGTTTCTTCAGGGATCCAACTACCCCCTTCGTGCTCTGTCAATGCCATTGTCTCCTGCTTTTTTGTATCCCGTCCTTTCTGTCCCTAGCCCTACCTAGAGGCTATCACACCACTGCTTTTTCATGCTCATATTTTTGGGAGAGATCAGTAACACCCAACCAAGCCCGTGCATATGAATGGTGTCCTTGGATTCTTTGTTTCTGAATGCCTACAAGTGTTAAGAACTACGGTAAAGTTCCCTGTAACACTTGGTCCTTGATGAAATGCTTCCTGTCCCGGTTAATTTGGGTGTGGAGTTGTCTACCTCAAGCTCACTGTAATATTGTTCTGACTCCTCTCCTAAAGTAGGCTTCCCATTGTTGTCATCAATCCTCCTCCTCCTTCTCCTCCAGAACTCTTATTACTTCTTGTGGTTTGGTTTTCTGTAATTTTGTATCTTTTATATAACAGAAGTCTTGATTCTCTTGCATGACTACTTTGGGGAAAGTAAGAATGCAGCCTCTGAAAAGGATATATTTCTGAAAGGTTAAGATCCCCACTGTCTGTGTATAAGAGGAACCACATTTTTCTTTTAAACTGTTGCGTTTAAAGGGCAGTTTTCTCTTTTGACAAATTGCACAACACATGTCTGTTGATAAGAAAGGTCTTTTGGGCACCTGGATGTCCAGGAAGATGATGAAGTCACTAATCTTGGGGTGGAGAAGAGCAGGAATCAAGGGAACTAGACTCTCTGCTGTAGGTGTACGATGGAGATTTATTCAATTATGTATTACAGAGCTTGCAAACCTGTAGCAATTGCAGTAGTGGAAGTCATCTCTTCCATTTGCCAGCTGAAGTAAGATCTTATTTAAGAAGAGCATAGGATAAACACGAGGAGAAAAAGGTCAACAAAAGCTTGAGGAGATAGCAAGGTAAACCAGCCATCTTGATGTGGTTCTTCCATAGTGAACGTCTTGCATAGCAGATCGAGGTGAGTACCATTGTATTTGTTTTCCTTATCTCTTCCTTTACTCCTGTGCATTTGCAGGATGCCTTTGTAGCATTCCATGTTGACAAAGTACTGGTGAGCAAGTACATGAAGTCACTGCAGATTGGGGAGCTGGCACCAGATCAACCCAGCATTGAGCCCACTAAAAATGTAAGTCAGTCACTGTAAATCAGATCAAAGATGGATTAAAGGGACATATTCTGAGATTAAACCATGTTCTTCTGCATCAGCGTACCTCTTGAAACAATGGGATCTAGGTTTTTCTCAATTTTTTTTGCTATTAATTAGAAACAATACATGCATATTAGTTTTCCCCATTCCTCTGAGCCTGCCTTGACTTTTCCTTTGCAGATTCTCACATGGCATGCTGAAGATGAGCAAGATGATGCGTGGCCCCATGTAATTCAGGCATTAGAAACACAATTTGAAGCAGTCTGACTGTCCCAGAATGGCATGGCCACACTTCCTATGTTGCTGGGAACCTCATGAACCCTTCTAGCCATCTGTGGCCGTGCCTTGCCTATTTCTTGATCCCATAGCTGGCCTGCATGTGCCTTGCTCCGTGCAAAGTCCATGTCCCCAGAATGATTGGGAAAGTAGGCTGGCAAGCTCCTCTGGGGTTTGGGTTGTGTGGAGTCAGGAACTGGGATCAGGAAGCATCTGCAGAGCTGACAAAGTGGGTTGGTCTAGCACCTGTGCTGTGCTCACTTCCATCCTCCTTCCTCTGTGCTCACCAGTCTGAGGCCAGCTGGGCTGTAGCTGCCATTTTTCATGCAGGCATTTAACCCTTCCCTGTCAATCTTTGGAAGGGTATAGTGAAGACATATATTGTTCTGTTGGAACAAGTGACAGAAGAGCAATAACAATCTAAAAGACTGATCACAAAATGGCATGCACACACAGTACAGCTTCCACTAGACATAACTTCCATCTGAGAGTTCTGCTACCTGCCAAAAAGGTGATGGAAGAAAAACCAAAAATATAGTCTTAGGGGTTGGGGGTACAGACACTGTGCTCTGTGATGGCAGCTGCTCGCTCCTCTGCTTTATGCACCTTATCAGGCAAAGACACAGAAAAGCTGTAGGAGAGCAAAGTTTACTAACGTGCAAGCCCAGCTTTTGCACATTTGGCTACATCCTTTGCTCCTCCTTTCCTCCATTCAAGTGGTCCTTGGTTTGAGTGCAAACACTAGAAACAGGGAACATATAACACTGGTGTTTCCTACAGAAAATGCTGGTGACTGACTTCCGTGAATTGCGTGAGACCATTGAGAAAATGGGACTTCTGAAGCCAAATCAACTCTTCTTCTTCCTGCACCTCGCTCACATCCTCCTGTTGGATACTGCTGCTTGGCTCATTCTCCTCTACTTTGGGACATCCTTAATACCCTTTATTGTCTCTCTGGTGTTGCTGACCATTTCCCAGGTAAGCAACTAACTCCACAACCTACCTACATGGACTCGCATCAACGTTCATACACATAATACTATTGTAGTTTTGTAGTCCTTCATTTCCTTACTTGGCATAGTTCTTTGTCATTAGATGGCAACCGTTCTATGGCACGTGTTTACAGAATGTGTGAAGAAGAAATTCTGCGTCTGGGATTCTTTCAGCAAGATCTATTCTAAGGGAAGGCTCCAGAGTATCAGGATTTCATAGTTTCTTTCTGATTGTGACTTTGAAAGAAATAAGTCTTGATATTTCAAAGCAAAGAATGGGTGTCATGCTGTCCTGGTCTTTCCTCCTCCCGATGCTTTCTTTTCCCTCTTCCAGGTCCAGGCTTCATGGTTACAACATGATTTAGGACACCTTTCAGTATTTAGGAAGACCAAGTGGAACCACTTGCTGCATAAGTTTGTGATGTGCCATTTGATTGTAAGTACCTGACCCTGGAAAAACTTCTTAGATTTGATGACTTTCCTGTAAAAGTGTGTGTTTTGAAGACTCTGGAGAACAGTGTGTTCAGCACTGGGAGAAGGAGGGGAATTGGAAGGAATCTGGCTTTTAAAATGTTGTGCTCCTAATACTTTTTTTCTTCATTAAAACAGGGGGCATCAGCCAAATGGTGGACTCTTCTGCACTCCCAGCACCATGCCAAACCCAACTGCTTCCAGAAAGATCCTGATATTGATATGCACCCTTTCTTGTTTACTTTGGGGAAGAAATTCTCTGTGGAGGTCAGTGTGTGTGCTCATGTACCAGGAACTGGGAAGAACTCCATAGTCAACAAAAAGCACGCTGTGCCATAAAGATCTAAAACTAAGATGTGATGACAGTTTCTGAAAAAAGAGTGCTTTCATCTGTGTCTCCTTTCTTCAGCCTTTGTAAGCAGGTCACAGTTCACATTAATTTCCTTTCAAAATTTCTGGAACAGTTGACAAGTAGTTGTAAACAAATCAGACATGATGTATGTGCATCATATAGAAGGTGGAAAATCCATCAGAAAAGACTGTTAATGGTGATAGCAACTTAATGACCTAGTAGAAAAACTTAGTAATTTAATGATCATTAGATACCTTGTAAACATTAACATAAAGCATGTCTGCAGTTGGCCTGAGATTACTACTTGAATATTCATGTCTGCAGCTCAGAGATGCAGTGGCTTTGGCACATCTATGCCTTCAAGGAGAAGACGGAAGCCTTGCAGTGAAAGGCAGCCAGCACAGCAGGACTGAATAACCAAGGGCTGTTCTGCAGCCCTGTAGGACTGGCTGGTGGAGGGTCTTCTAGTAGGCAGAAGTCATCTGACCACATAGGATGTTCTCAGCTTGTACTGCTACGCCACTTCCAGGAGCAACAACCTAAGACAATGCTGAACTCCTTTTGCTGTATAGTTTGATCAGCTCTTGAGACCCTGATGGAGTGGCTACAGCAGCGAAGTATTTTTCTCCTTGGAAGACCTTTGCTGTATTGAAACTGTTATTTAGGTGTACAGAATAAGAGAAGAAAGGAGGGACATGGGAGGAGGAGCAGGCAGTAAATACATATGAGTATTTTTGACCAATAACGTAATTTGTTATGTTATTGGTCAAAGCTGGGGAAGGGTCTGGAGCACGTGTCTTATGAGGAGCAGCTGAGGGAGCTGGGGCTGTTTAGCCTGGAGAAAAGGAGGCTGAGGGGAGACCCGATTGCTCTCTACAGCTCCTGAGAGGAGGTTGCAGAGAGGTGGGGGTTGGCCTGTTCAACCAAGTAACAAGTGATAGAACAAGAGGAAATGGTTTCAAGTTGTGCCAAGGGAAGCTTAGATTGGATATTAGGAAGAATGTCCTCACTGAAAGGGTCATTAGGCATTGGAACAGGCTGCCCAGGGCAGTGTGGAGTCACCATGCCTGGAGGTTTTTAAAAGTCATATAGATGTGGTGCTCAGGGACGTGGTTTAGTGGGGGACTTGTCAGCGTCAGTTAATGATTGAACTAGATGATCTGACAGGTCTTTTCCAATCTAGGCAATTCTATGAGGGTTGTGGGAAGTGTGCATGAAGAGTGCCTCTGGGGAAGAAAGACTGACAAATGGCAAGTTACCTGTGCAGATTGTTTAATTTCCACTCTTTTTCTTTTTTCTGCTTCTTTTCACAGCTTGGGATCAAAAAGAAAAAATACATGCCATACAATCACCAACACAAATACTTCTTCATCAGTGAGTGTCTTCATTCTCCTGCAATACCCTGAGGGGTAATAATGGGGCTTAGATCTTACTTTTGACCTGCAGGACTCAAGCAGAACTAAGGTGTCTGCATCATAGAACAGAATAATCAGCTTGCATCTACTTTTTGGAGGAGTTGAAGGCCTGATAGATAAAACCCTGTGTAACCTGGTCTGACCTCATAGCTGATGTTGCTCAGAGATCCTGAGGTCCTTTCCAGTCTGAATTATCATATGATCCTGTGTGAGATCAGGTTTCTGTGTCCTTCTTGACTTGAAACACATTAATTTCATTTGAAAACTTCTAAGCAAATGGCTTAATGTTGTCCCAGGAGAGAAGTGTAGTGGGGTACTCTTATCCTAGGTCACTTAAAAGCTGTACTGCTTTTCAAAAATAAGTCTAGGTCTATTGGGACAGAGAAAGAGAGAAAGATGCTTAACTCCTTAACTAAGGAAGTTACTTGGGAGAGTATGATGGGGCTCCAGGGGCTGTTTGTGAGCTATATAATGTATGACTGATAAAGGGAGTACACAGAGCAGAGGAAAAATTTAGGGTTTCTCCACTGCCAGTGCCCTGATCTCCATGTTGCCACTCTTGCCCCCTTCTTCCTGTCTTAGTGAAGCTTTATTCCTTTTACAAAGCAGCATAATTTCAACACAGGACAAAGATATCACTACTTGTATCTCTCCAGAACAGTCTGGTCTGCTGCTTGGGATGTTTGCCTGAGAGGAGGACAGTATGAATTTGAACCCTAAAACCCAGCAGAAATGGGCATTTTCAAGGTGTGACTCATTTGACCTCTTTTTCCCCTGACCTCTCAGGCTTACAGGAACTGCACTCCAGCAGTGCCTCTTCTGTCAAGTGGCTAGACAGAACTAGCAGGGTTAGTTCAGATGGGCATATCTCGGATATGCAACTTGAAGAGGTCTAGTTAAGGAAAGGAACTCCATGTTACACTGTCATACCACAGCTTTCAGTAGTATTCAAATTTAAAGAAGGGTCTGTGGTGTGGATTTTTGGTTTTTTGTTGTTCATGGTTTTTTGTTGTGGGTTGTTGTTTTTTTTGGTTGGTGGTTTGTTTGTTTTTTAAGTACAACTGAGATGTATATTTGGAAGGCTGCGTTTGAGGTCTTCTTGCAACCCAAAATCCATGGTAGGCAAGGGATTTCATATGTGTATTTCATATATATTCCCCTGCTTTGAACAACTGATTGGGGAGCCAGATAAACTTTGGGGCTGGGGAAGCCACTTCTCGAAATAACACTCTGTGGCTGTTCCTCAGAAGCCTAAAATGAAATCTTGGGTTTGTAAGCACTATCGGATTGACAGACCTAGAAACGTTGAGAAGCACTAATCGTGGCATCATAGAATAATTGGATTGGAAGGGACCTCCAAAGATCTATTCTTGCTCATTGCAGGAGCTTGGGACACCTTCAACTAGGGTTGCTCAGAGCCCTGCATAGCATCCTAACCAGTATCAGTCAGTTGCTGTCTTGTAAAGTGGTTACTGTGGCACCCAAAAGGATTACTAGGTTTCTGGGGTCTTGTCCTTCTTATTCTTTTAGGATTTCCCACATCCCTTCTTGTTTTCACTCTTCTCTAAAAGAAATAGTGGTCATAATTGTCCATGGGGAAACAGAAGGCAATACTACCTGTGCTGACAGGTGACATAAGCAGTAGCAAGCTGTCATGCTAAAGAGCAGGAACTGTCCTCAGTCAAGCTTCAGAGGGCTTCCTGTTTTACCTACGTTTTACCTCTTGAGGTCAGCAGGCTCCCAGATTGCCTACTGTTTGTCTGTGTGGATGCATACTGATATCAGCCAGAAAATTCTGCAGCCCTAAAACTTCCCAGCATATTCTCCACACTGAGTAGTTGTTCAGGGCTCCTTTGCCTCCAGTTTGATTATCGGTCGCTCAGTCTACGACATTACCAGTGATAACAAATTCTCCCTTACAGCTCTTCCTCCGCTCCTGTTTCCCACCTACTTCCACTGCCACACGTTTTATATTGCGTACACAAAAAGGTATTGGGCGGTAAGTATTGCTGCTTGTGCGACCAAGAAGGGGTCAGCTGTGGGCCTTCAACCTTTCTTCTGAACGTGGAGTCAGCTTCTGCCCAGAACTCAGTCCCTGCTGAGTGACACTCTCTGCCACTCAGTTAAGCCTAATGACACTTTGGAACAGCGTTTTCAGGGGCTCTGCATACTCTCTAAATCCTTTATGGCCCCCAGCTTGATAATAAAGGCCTGAAAACAAGCAACCGTCCTGGGTAATGATTTGATATGAGTCTTCAACTCATATTTCTGAATACATACTCATTTGCTAATATTAATCTACTTACTAGGCGTGAATGCTCAGATTCATCTTCATTATAGCAAGCTGTAGAAAAAAAGTGTTATTGGCTTCTGTTAACTTGGTTTGGTCCAGATGATTCAATTCAGCAAAACCCTATAAAAGCTGAATGTAGATTGTTCTTTTGTACATATAACATGAAGCTTAGAAAAAGATTTAAGCAAAAGTAATTCATAGTAATTTCTTTTTATTTTGTCTCTGGTTTTGGTAGGACTTGGCCTGGATGCTGACCTTCTATATCAGATTCTTTTTTACTTATGGATCATTATTAGAAATAAAGAGTCTCCTGGCATATTATTTTATATTCAGGTGATATCTCTTTAGAATATTCTTCAGCCTTTCTCTATGTATTCTTTCCATTTGTGTCTGCCTGCCTTTCTCTCCTTTGCTTATTTTTCCATGTTTTCCTTGGCCTTCTAAGTTTTTGATATCTGTTTTTAAATCCATAAAGTTAAACTAAGACCCTGCTACTTAATTGCTAGTTCAAGTTGCCTGTCAGCAAAGAGACTTCACTGAGTGCTGAGCAAATTGTGAAATACACAACATTCGGTGCTTTGGGTGTTGGGTCTGCTACTGGTTAGAGAAGGAGAACATTTAACAGCAACAGCTTAGCCTGGGCTTGTAAATGCTCATTCATTATGCAGCAGCGTTGCCTTGAACGGACAATACACTCCCCACTTGGATCATTTTACTGATTCTAATCAGTTTGGTCCTTGGCTGCAGATAAAACGAGATGAACGACAGGCTACATCAGTTTCATAACAAAACATATTAAATAATCACGAATTTCATAAGGAAGTAAGAAACTTCCAGGTTTTGGAAGTTCTTCCAGGTGCTGGATTAGCAAGGCTGGTGTTCAGCCAGCTGTTTAAGTCTGCTGTTATTTCAATGCTCATCATTGACTTGCTTACACGTTATGGAATTCTTGCTTCTTGTCTGATTGCACAGGATGCTGGAGAGCAGCTGGTTTGTCTGGGTTTCACAGATGAGCCATATCCCAATGGATATTTACTATGACAACAATTTGGACTGGGTGTCTACTCAGGTAAAACACTTTCCATTCTTAAGAATTGTGGCCATACAGGTGCAAGTTCCAACCATAAGACAAGGAAGCTCTCGATTGCATTAAGGGTGAAAACCTGTTGGTAACGGGGAAGTGAAGATTAGTAGGATAAAGGGATTCGGTTACGGCGACAGCAAAGGAGGACAGCAATGACATGTTCATGGGCAATCTAAAATCCAAGCTATCTCCCAGCTCTGTTTCCTAAATCCACTTAACTGTCATTCTGGTTTGGACCTTTTCTGTTTATATGGAGATGGAAGTTTGTGTCCTCTTGCTGAGCAGTTTGGCACTAGTAGAATGCCAGTGTTGTGTCCTGTTTTTGCAGAGGCTTATTGGAGTCCAGCAGTAAAATGTGATCACCACAGAAGTACCCTGCCAGCTCTGCTTTTTCTGCAGACGTAGGAATGTGAAGACCCAGGAGAAACTTTTGATTGTTCACATGCACTCATAGGAGCACAGAGCCAACTCCTAGTTTTACCATGGTCTATGTTAGCCAGACTACATACCCTTTCTAGTCCACAAAGCTGAAGGAGGATTATGATCCCTGGCTTGAGGTAGCTCAGTTTAGGCTAAAAGAAAACAATAGGACAGAGTAGCAGCGCATACTGTGCTCTTTATACGAAGGAGAAAGACTGCAGTCACCAATGTCCTGGGCTGTATCCAGAGGAGTGTGGCCAGCAGGGCGAGGGAGGGGATTCTGCCCCTGTACTCTGCTCTGGTGAGACCCCACCTGGAGTGCTGCGTCCAGCTGTGGAGCCCTCAGCATCAGAAGGATATAGACTGGTTGGAGCGAGTCCAGAGGAGGCCACGGAGATGATCAGAGGGCTGGAGCCCCTCTGCTATGACGCAAGGCTGCGAGAACTGGGCTTGTTCAGCCTGGAGAAGAGGAGGCTCTGAGGAGACCTCATTGCAGCTTTCCAGTATCTGAAGGGGGCCTACAAGGGTACTGGGAGAGGACTTTTTACAAGAGCCTGTAGTGACAGGACAAGGGGTAATTGGTATAAATTGAAATCAGGGAGGTTTAGATTAGATATCAGGAAGAAATTCTTCACAGAGAGGGTGGTGAGGCACTGGGACAGGTTGCCCAGAGAAGCTGTGGATGCCCCATCCCTGGATGTCTTCAAGGCCAGGCTGGATGAGGCTTGGAGCAACCTGGTCTAGTGGAAGGTGTCCCTGCCCATGGCAGGGGGGTTGGAACTAGATGATCTTTAAGGTCCCTTCCAACCCAAACCATTCTATGATTCTATGATTCTATAATGTGTATTGACTTTGCTTTCCTTTCCCCTTCCCTAGCTCCAGGCAACATGCAATGTTGAGCAGTCTCTGTTCAATGACTGGTTTACTGGGCATCTGAACTTCCAGATTGAACATCAGTGAGTATGCACCCTGAGAGGGGATCTTCTTCCCTCCTTTTTCATAAATATTTTTTTTTCCTTCTCCTTTTCCCTATTTTTCTTTGCTCTGAATTCTACAAATAGTTGTGGGGCACCAATGATTTTCTTTAAAAGACTTAAGAGAATCATAATGTAATTCAAAACTTTCACTGGAACCACAGGAAGGTGAGAATGACTACCTTAAATTGAATGTGGTCAGGATCCATGAAACCATACAGACAGCATCGGGGTCTATCCAAAGCAGTGGGTCGTAAGCGTTAGTGAAAATGTACGTGTTGAGGCACCCTGCTCAGCCTGATGCAGTATAGCCTGCCTACACCGACTAGTGCTATTACTCTCGAGACTGAGGTATGCAACTGGAGGATGGGCTCATCTCCCTTTCTGTGCTAGGGAGATGGCTACTTCTGGAGAAAGTCGTTTCTTCCAGTTTATGGTATTGCTTAATTTGGAGAAATGTCTCTTCAGAGATACCAAAGACAACTGTGGAAAACAATGGAGAGGGAAAGCAGAAAGGTCTTGCAAGATACTTGCACTAAAAGAACTCCAAGGGAAAAGAAGACTCAGGAGCAGCTAAAAACTTTACTCAGTGTGAACTGGGAGATTCCTGTGAAGTAATAATGAATGCGAGCATGTGAAAGGTAGTATTTCTTATGGGGCACCGGAAGAGAATTTGTCTGTCTCCTGTTCACAGCCTATTCCCCACAATGCCAAGACACAACTACTGGAAGGTGGCTCCGCTGGTGAAGTCCTTGTGTGCCAAACACGGCATTGAGTACCAGTGTAAGCCGCTGCTCACGGCTTTTGCAGACATTGTGCAGTAAGTAACAACACACTGGCAAAACATTACAGAAGGATGTAGGAGAGACTGGAATCCTACGAACAAGAGCTGTCTTGTTCTCTTGCAAATCAACACACAGAAACCCTCATTTCCCTTGTCCCTACCAACAATCCCCTAAGTAACCCTGCATAATGCACACTCTCTTTCTCTATCTCAGCTCTCTGAAGAATTCAGGAGAGCTCTGGCTTGATGCCTACCTACACAAATAAGAAGACAAGGCTTGATGGTACCATTCACAGCCTGCCACGTGTTTGCATTCCCAGCAAGCTGAGGAGCAGAGACCACAAGGGACTCTATGGCAGAAGAAAATGGCTGAGAACTGAAGGATATGATTCCAATAGATATGAAGTTACTTGAATTTCACTTCTGGTCTTTCCTGTGGTGTTTTGGCTCAGACATGTTAGGAGCGGATAGGGCAGGCAAGAGATGACTGATTAGATCAGGAGAAATTCTTTGCAAACTGTGTCTGAGTAAATATTGCCAAAAGCATTTCTGACCCTGAGTATGCACTCAAATCAGTTAATGGACTGATGCGGCAACACACATTTAACTTCATGTCAGAGTCCTCTGACCAGTTTTTGGGGTGTTTTTTGTATTCCTCACATGGAGGGTTTAATGCTTAATATGGTGTTTGCGTCTTTGAAGTAATTTTAAATTGCACAGGGTTTTGCATCAACACGGTGTTTCAGCTATGCATGTAAATAATAATGAACTCTAATAAACTACATATCACACAGAGTATAGCAGTTGCAATATGCACTTGAATAACAACATAAAAGTGCTTCCCATTACTGCTCTCTAGACTATCCGTATTGTCACAGTGCCAGACATCCCCAGTTGTCAGGAAGAAACGCACAGGTTGAGAGCAGTTCAAACCCATTGCTCTCTTCAAAGTTTCTTTATTAATTGTTTGGGTTTTGTACTTTGGGTTGGGCTGAGCCATGTGCTGGCCTGGCTGAGTTGTTTATAACCAGGAGGTCTCCACTGTCATGTCTGTGCCGCAGAGTGCTCTGAAACACTTTATACCTGTAGTCCTTCATGTCACATCCTTCGTCTTCACTTCTCCAAGTTGCTACTATTATACCAGGTCTGTATTTCATTATGTTAACAGACAGCTACATCTCATGCTGCATTGAGTAACTGCTTGTTGCTATCTATGATCATACTACAGTAACATAAACCAAAAGTAAATTAGCCATAGATATTTGGTCAAACAGAAAAGCTGCCGTTGCAGCTAAACTAAATAAACAAAGTTGCAGATAGGCTGGTAAAAGATCAGACTAAAGAGGCCTGACAAGCCTCAGTTCTTAACTGCTATAAATCATAATCCATTCTAATCATTAGATTTGTTATGATCAGTATAACCAAGTTCAGAATTTCTGCAGTTGAGGAATGTGCAAAGAACTTCATGATGGGCAGAGACTGATTTCTTCATCACCCTCTGAGTCCCGGTGAGCTGTACTCACCTGGAGCTCGAGCCTTGCCGGTGCCGCTGAACAAGACCCTTCTGGCAGGCCGTGTTCCTCAGCTCCTCAGGCTCAGCTCCGGGTCTGTCGTGTCTGCACTGCAACTTCACCAGTCGTAGAGGAAGTCACAGCAGGTAAGGTCACTTGCTTAGAGGATGACGGGGCTCTACCAAAAAGTATAGAACAATAAATTAATGTCTACTGTAGTCCCATGAATAAAAAATATTATTGATTCATGTCACAGGTTCATAGTATAAAAGCAGATCTAATACATACACAAGATATGTTACTTTAGGAATAAGTGTACTCTTAAAACTAGTTTTGTCTTAAGCCTGCATTTCTTTGTCAGGATCAAACAGTTCTGTAAGCAGTTACACGTAGCTCATATTCCCATTTTGTCTAATACAAAGGCACCCACTCTCCAGCTGGGTGGTCAATCACTCCATCACTCACCCCTGAGCCTCCGTTGCATGTTGCCTCTGCTTGGCCGCTCTTCGGAGCCTTCCTTGCGTGTGTGTGTGTTTCTCTGATCTGTCCCATTTCACAAATCTGATCCAAGCTGTTCAATAAGTAAAATAGCAAATTTTCTTTTGGCCTTCTTTTGTGAAGATCTTTTGAGGCACTGGGCATTAGGAAGTAGTAGGAATAGTGAAAGTCAGCTGCTATTATTAGTAGAAAATATTCAGATTAGTCTTTTCTAGCTCATAGTTATATTGATAGTTATTAGCCATAAAGCTAATAACTAAGTATGAATGGCTAATAAACTTGGAAGTAACACAGCTGAGACCCTGGAACTGAGCTCCCTCACTCAAATGTGGATTGTTGCTTATAATTTTTTTTTTTTTTTTTTTTTGGTTTTGGTGTTTTGTGGTTTATTTATTTATTTATTTAAGGAGTGCACTGGGGGGGAAAAAAGGAGTGAGCATTTTCTCTTTTCTTTGATAAAGAGGCAGCACCAGAACAGACATCACTAGCTGCTACATGCCGTACTATACTTCCCTCTTGATGGAGAGGCTGTACTTATTGGGACTAAGGGTGCTAATATACCTCTGAGATATATTTTAACCTGTACAAAAGAAACTTACAGTATGTATTTCAAGTTGCTCAACCTGGGCTGCGAGGAGAGTGTGTGTATTTTTATGCATGCATCTAGATGAATACCGTCTTGTTATTCATCTGAAAAGCCAGTTGAGAGGACTCTAGAGGGCGCCAAAAGGGAAAAATAGATTTGGGGTAAACTGAAGACTGCACAGAGGGCTCTGGGTCTGTTCTCTGTTGATTTATCCACCTCCTCAGGGGCAGGCAGCCAGTGCCAGTCAGGCAGGGCCAGAAGAGCAGCTACCCTGGTCAAGTGGAGGATGCTCTTCCCTCTGAGTCTCTGAGAGGTGAGGTAGGATGCAGGTTTAAGCTGCCTGGTTGAATTCCTGCTAATGATTCCACAGTGCTGAACACCTTACAAAGAGCTTCAGGATTAGGATGAAGGTTCAGACTTTGGTTCAGGATGAGTGTTTGGCTGTGAGTTAGGGGTAGGGCTCGCATTATTATTGAGGTTAGCATGAGGGGTTGGCATTGTGAGGTATCTGCATTTACTAAAGACACTTGGAGGCAGCTGGAGCACACCTGAAGGTACTCTTCAGCCAACCTGTGCAGCTCAGAAATGTACGTGGATGCCTGTCCTGCACTTTAGATGGCTCTGGGTGATGCCTGAACACACCACAAAGCCCTCACAAGGCCATGGTGCACATCAGAGGGCCCTCGTAGGACACTACAGGTCAATTAGCTCTAGGGTTAGTGTTGAAGTAAGGATTAGAATATCAGCTATGTTTAGGGTATGGTTTCAGACTTAGTGTGAGGCACAAGGTTGGAGACCTTTGGAGACTTTATAGCACTTTCCAGTGCCTGAAGGGGCTACAAGGAAGCTGGGGGGACTTTTTACAAGGGCCTGTAGTGACAGGACAAGGGGTAACGGGTTTAAATTGAAAGTGGGGAGGGTTAGATTAGATATCAGGAAGAAGTTCTTCCTGAGGAGGGTGGTGAGGCACTGGGACAGGGTGCCCAGAGAAGCTGTAGATGCCCCATCCCTGGAAGTGTCCCAGGCCAGGCTGGATGAGGCTTGGAGCAACCTGGTCTAGTGGAAGGTGTCCCTGCCCATGGCAGGGGGGTTGGAACTGGATGATCTTTTAAGGTCCCTTCCAACTCAGACCATTCTATGAAGGTTAGCCAGAGCCCAGGTCTAAAACGGACACCCATCGACTAGGGCTCCCACACAGAATTGGCCAGGAAGGTATAAAATATCAGCTTACTCAAAAAATATTTTGAAGTGGATCCAGCAGCAGCTGGACCATTGAGGATTTTGTGCTTCCCAGTGTGATAGAGGGGACACCTGCACCATGATGGAGGATGCTCATAGGTGTATGAATTTAGAGTAACAATAGTAAGTTATGAAATCTTAGGACCTTAAGTGAATTCACATGGTAGACCAGCCTAGGCAACAGGGGATTGAGCCTTTAGTTGTGGGTTTTTTTGTCATATTTCTTAATGAGTTAATGAAATAAAGTTTAAATCACAGAATACATTGTCCTGTAACTCTGAGACATCCAAACGGACCGTGACAGGTACTAACCTAGTAGGCTGAATCCAAACCCTAACTAATGGCCCTAACACTAACCATAACCCTAACTCTAATAGGCCCTAACCCTAAAAGTAACTCAATCCCTAATAGGTGCTAACAGTAATACTAGCCCTAAACATACTCCTTACCTTAACAGCCCTAACCTGAATATTAATAGGCTCTAACCATTGCCTTAACCCTAACTCTAATGTCCCTAACCATAAACACTAATAGGCTGTAACACTAAGCATAACTCTAATCCCAATGACCCTAACCTTAACCCCAACCCTAATGCTTAGAGGCACTAACCCGTAATAGTTCCTAACACTAACAGCTCTAACACTAAACCTAACCCTAGTCCATTCAAACAGATTTGACGATTTCCTGACTAAATGAAGTAAAACACTTTTTCACTTCCAATGCCTTGATATGTAGAGGGGAGTTTATGTTACCGTTTTTGGAGCTACAGAAAGTCACATCACATTTCTAAGCATCTTAGGCAGTTTGGGGCAGCAGTAAACTTTGCTTCCCAGCGAGGTTTACAGCTCTGGAAGTGAATCTGAGCATCTGGATTACAAATAAAATCAGGTGAGGGAGGTGGGACAAAAAAAGCATGGAAAAGGGTAGAGTTGGATAGTTGTTTATGCAAGTTTGGATTGCAGGAACAGCAGCCACGTGAACTTGTGATGCAAAGCAGCTCTCGCTCCAGACCACATCCTGGCTACTTTTTAAATTGGCATCACGCGAGGTTCAGTGCCAGCCATTTGGACTCAAACACTGCCCATATGCTATGGCCAAGAACAAGAGTACAAATTCCAGACTCAAGGTTTAAAGTGAGACACAAATGTTGTGTGTCAAAGCTAACTATGGTAAGGCTTATTAAGCTCAAGGTTATTAAGGCAGTTTTGAGAGTTCAATAGTAAAGTGAATTACCTGAGAGGACTCAGATTTTGGCTTTGCCAGCCAGAAGGTAACTCAGAGAAAGAGGCTACTCTAACGTTCTTTGAATCACCCTAGAGAGGAGCCAATATCTCTCTGTTAATTAGTAAGAGAGCATGTTCTTTGTCTGAAGGAAGTAATATTGGGAGTACCAACACAGACCCTGAAAAGATTAACTTTTGGAAAAGGGACT